ATTTAGCAGCTCCTAAATACCTAAGTAAATAGTACTTGGGTATTTAGTCATCTCAAAATACTAAGTATTTGTGTATTTAGTACCCAAAGTGGTACTTTAAGTACAAAAGTATTTAGGTATGCCCATCACTGATCAGGATGAGCTGATCTATTGAAGCACGCACGCTCGCAAAAGCACCAAAAAAGCTGTAGCAGCATAAAAAGTCAGAAAAAAGTAGGCGACTTTTTTAAGACTTCATTGAAAATGTAATGAACGCAAAAAAGGCTGAAATATTGCTATGTTACTTCTTAGCAGAACGTAATTTCGCATTTTCGACAATCGACCACCTAACCAAATGTCTACAAAAGAAAAAAAAATGTTAAAAATCAACGCGATTATTTAGCAACTTAAAACTTGCACATTATTACCCTGGAAAATAATGGGCTATCAAACTTCATACTCAAACAAATTCTTAAAAATCCGAATAAAAACTTGAAAATTTAGCTGAAACTTTGCAGATTTTTTATAATTTTTGCACAAAGTTTGAAATGTGGATTTATATTTTGTTTGTTATATAATCAGCTTGGCTTTTATGGAAAAATAATAAACATTAAATAAACAAAAGAAAGACAGCCACAATCGATCAAAATATTGATGACTTAATCAGCTGATAAAAAGTGTATATATAAAATGATATTTATATTAACAATCTCAAACCAGTTTACAATGAATTTTAAATGTGCTCTGTCGAAATGACATTTTAATACACCTTACATATATACTTATGTATGTACCTTTGTATACAATAAAAGTTTAATAAGAACTATCCTGTGTGCATACATTTGAAAAAGACGTTTTTGGGCAGGAAATTACGTTTTTTCCGACCAAGAGTGACGTTTTCTCATGCCTAAGACCTGGCAACACTGTTCGTGGATGGCGTTGATGTCAGCCTTTACTTTCCCTAGGACATCAACCATTTAGGCAGACGCACCTTCCCGATTAACAGGTCTATTCTGTGCTGGTAATAAACATTTTGTAACCGGTAAATCAAGTTCCTGTCAATTTTTAAACCCTTTTCGCATTCTGTGTACTCTTGTTACCGGTAAATTTTGTTACTATCTCATAAGCTGGTAATAAAGTATTGCCCCGCGAAATATGCAATGCTAGAATTTCCGCAATTCTTCATAGCTGAATTGCTGAATATTTTAACTGCGTTACCAACGTACCTAGAATCGCGGTGACAAGAGCTGGTAACATTTTTTCGTAATAAATTTTCCGGTTACAAAATTTTCGGTAGCGTGCAGAATTGACCTGTAAGGGTTCGGATATTCCAGGTGCACACCCTCAAATCATAGTCCTTCCTACGTTTGCCGTGATCGTCATCAAAAGAAGGGGGTATCAACCGAGGCATATGTTTTTTTTTTTCACTGTGCAGGATTTTAACGGAGCGGGACCCAAACCCAGCCCCCCGCGGAGCTTTACGTCCTCCCTCTTTAGCTCGATCCCAAGCGGGTGTTTGGTCGCTACCCAGAGGATTCATGGCCACTCCCAGGTGAATAGCAGTCAGTACTGGGAAATTTGCAGAACATGGTGGTCAAATGCGAATATCCCAACTAAACCTTGATGTATTTTTTAAATTCATAGCTCTACATACCTGTATAGTAAACCAGATAGCCGGATAACACGTTATTCAAAATAAAAATATGAAAACAAAAACAGTGTGTAGCACTGTACACATGATAGAAGTGAAACTTCTTACAAAAGGTTACTCACGAAATTTAATGTGTAAACATATGTTTACGGCTCGGCAAACCATTAGGCGATTGAGTAACATACATAGGTTTGGTAAGAAATTAAACATTAATTTGATTTAATTTTATTCATTTTCTGATATATAACTTATTTATTCATTTTCCGGAAGTACCATCTTATATGAATTGACCCTGCTAGCATCCTTAGGACCGGATTGTAATGGAAGTAACTGAACGGAGTGAACTTTCACATAATTATCTATTGTATGTTTAACAAATAAATGCGTATGTTTATAATGCACGCCGTGATTTGTTACGATAAACTTTGTTTTTTTTTTT